TACATCACATTTTCAAAATACTCACCGATTGTCTCCCATCAAGAAATGAATAGAAAATCTTAATGACACCACAACTTTTATAGCCCGGGAGATGGACATCTTTTTGGAAGCATTCGATCATGATTCCTTCTGGCTGATTTCCGCTGAGTTTGCCGTACACCATGTTGCACACTGGGCAGGCAGGTGTTTGTATAAAACACTTCTCAAGACATTTCTTACAAAATATATGCTTGCATCTGGAAAGCTGTTTTAATTTGGAACTTGTGAGTTCTTCCATACAAACAGGGCACGTGTCTCTTTCTCTATCGACCACACTTAGGAAGTATGATTTCCCATTGTCTTGTGTTGCCTTTAGAGACTTTATTGGGTTTAGCTTAAGGCGAAGGTTTCGTGAATGGTTTACACTTTGCTCTATGGTATGTACCATTCTTTTGTCAGGATGGACTACCATCACAGTTTTAAGCCCATTAATTGACGTTTTTGTCGTCGCAAACTTATCAATGCTCGCGCAAATCAAATCAATCACGAAATCGAACGGTGCACCACTTTTTCCAGTGCCGATTACTGGAAGAGCTATTGATTCGTATCCCATACGTTCTGTTCTTGAAAAGATATCGAATAAGAGAGATTCAAGCCCATCTACCCACTTAGTTTGCATTTGTTTGGAAAACTGAGGTACAACCGCATGAAAGATATGTTTACATTTCAATTTCCCTGTTACTGGAGTAGGCTGAAAAGCCCAATTAGGAATGCTCAAACACATTTGTCGCAGACAATCTTTGCATACATCTAGTAGAGGGCCTCCTTTTTCAGCAACAATTTTAGCAACAATACCGCCGCTTTGTATTGAAGAATCTTCACTACTGAGTATCACATCTACAGTTAGATCTACAATACTCTCCTTTGATGCTATGATTTCAATAAAAGAAGTATCCTCTTTAATATTAAAGGCGGGAGTATTTTGATCCGGGATAGCCTCTGCGACTTTCAATATATTCTGGTCTGCTCCAGATGTTGCACATGCTACATTAATAGTTTGTACATCTGTATTTTTCTCTTCACGGAGATCAAATTCTGAAACACGTTCACACGATTTACCAATTTGAGATGAAACGTCGTGGTCCGGAGACTTCTTTGCTATTTCATTAATAGATTTCGAACCTGCAGCTGAATTATGATGAGTGTCAGATTTATGTGTTATGGTTGTGAGTAATGACGCATCAATGTTTGAGTTTCCCCCGGTTGTTATGTCGTTTGATTCTCTCTTAATCTTGCTTATAACATTAGTTTGTTTCGTCATAAACTGACTGTGTACTGTTGGTTGGAATACCGGAATCGAAATCTACAACGATATTAGTAATTTGTTTTTAATAAGATAAAATGTCGTAGGACATACTTACTGTAAAAAAAATTATCGCGTACTCGTTTATTTCCCGCATATAGGAAAACGTCAATATTTTTAAGGCATGTAAGGAAAATGATTTACTATAAATTTTCATCAATCTGTAAACGTATAAAAATAAGGAGATGTGGTATGATTGCCAATGAGACAACTATCCATCAAAGTTCAAATGAAGTGAATATAAGCAATTATGGGCAAACTTACGGCCTTCAATAATGAGGAAAAACCCATGCCGTATAGCCGGCTTAAAAAAGCCCCGAGATGAAAAAAAAAATGAAACCGTTCAATTGAGAAAACTAACGGCCTAATTCATAACAAAACAATTTACGAAAAACAAATATTACAGACATGAGCGAACCAACAACAACCACTGAAATACAGACTCCTGACTTGGGACAGGCATACATATAATGTGAAGGCACCAACCCTCCCCTAACATGGGACAGTGGTCTAACGGCACAACACAAGAACAAACTATGCGAAACGATAACGAAAAACAAATACTAGTATGAGAAACAGAAAAAACGACAACCACACAATTGCAAACTCCTGACTTGAAACAGGCACATATAGAATGTGGTTGGGTTAACCATGTTTGAAGGCACCGACCCTCCCCTAATTTAGGACAGTGATGTAACAGTACAACATAAGGACAAACTATAAAAATTAGTGGGAAAGGACTTAACTCATCAGACCGATACAAAGCAGAAAAACACAGACCGGACATGGCAGGGTATTCATACATCCCTAAAAACAAAAAAGACACAACAACACAAAGTACAGATCTGAGAGAACTTGCAGCTACTGACAACTAGTTCAAATCCATAACAACTAATAAAAAAATCATGTATCTAAGACTTAAATATCAATCAGAACACAATAATAATGAAGACTTAAAAACGAATGATGTATTATTGATATCTTATGTGAATGAAAAGGATATGAGGATGTAACGTCAATAAGAAAGCACCCAATGCCACAAAAAGTAAAAGACATCAACGAGGTCTATGCACATCCTTCAGCAATAAACGGTGTCATATGCTTGTATAAAATCTTATTATGTAAGTTGCTTGCCTGTGTTTTGTTCCCATTTAACTGAACCTCAGTTGCATTTTGTAGTTGTGATACACTTGTGAGAGTGAGACTTCGACTTTTATTATCCGATATTTTATAATCTTTCTTATCTGGCTTTAACGGTCCTTGATCTTGTCCTGCTGTTCCGATTGTTGCAGGTAAAGAAGTGGCAAAACTCTCTGAACTGATGTGTTGTTCTCTCATACTTGACTTCGGTTTTGTTTGGCTGGCATTTGCTGGTTTATTCATGCCTTCCCCAAACATTGCATCTTGTTGGTTCGTGGATTTCTTTGAATCTTTAGCCGCCATGACTAAAATGAAAATAATTTTTTTAACACTGCAGTTTGAAAACTTTCATTCTAACTAGTAGCTTTTTTTCAAGAAACAATAAGATTGGATTACAGTATAACAGTCTGCCTAATGCTAGTATGTACGAGGCAAACTGGCAGAGTAATACATTCAAACATAAAGTTTATGCTCACATAACACACACACAAAGAAGGTAAACATGTTGGACATTTTTAAATATTAACATAACATTTTTATGAATACAAAAAAAAAAAGGTGTAGGATAATCTCTATTAGAAAACGACACAAGAAGACACAAAGAGGCCTCTGGCGTACAAAATTATAATCCTGGTATATATGATGAGTTTATTAACACACACAGACAAGTGTATATACAATATTAAAGCTCTGGATTATAAAAAATGAGATTGAATTTAACGATTATACTATCGAATATGTCATTAAATTGACAACACGTAGACGATAATAAATCATATCAATATCATTTTAAAACCTCTTTTTCTTTGGTTATATGTGTATCCTTTCTCGTAATATAATTATAACAAGTACTTACATTTAATCAAGCGGAATGAGAAATCACACAGGAAATTCCTATAGTTTTTCTTCCGCTTAGATTGTATATCTATTTCCATTTACAATTCAAATGTCAAGGCAAATTGTATTAAAATATCTATCTTGCTTAGTTTCGTTTTCGTAGGTTTAATCTGCATTTTAAATTTATATGCATCAATGATACGACTGGCGTAAATGAATACAATCTTTTAATAAGAGTATTGTCTATTCTTTTATATTTGATTTTTTTTTACTTTTGTGTAAGCCTAAGAAGTGAGTATCGTCGAATTTTCGTCTGTGTCACAGCGGATACAACATGAACAAATTAATTTTTGTTTTTCGACATATTATTATAATATGTGTTTTCCTAACAAACATTCCCCTGGAAACATTGCTATAAAAATTCTATAATATCTGTCCTTGTTGGAACAAACATTCGACATCGTCTCTTTATTTCGTCAGGAACAATATTGTAATATTTCATCCAGTGGAAATGATAATCCAGAAAGTTTCTTCCATTTAGAACTAATATTATATAGAATGTTCTATATCATATAATTGATAATGGAAATGGGGAATGTGTCAAAGTGACAACAAACCGACCAAAGAGCAGAAAACAGCCCAAGGCCACCAATGGGTCTTCAACACAGCGAAAACATGACATGCAGTCGTTGACACTGTTCACATTATAAACTATTTTATTCACACTTCAAAGAGATTGTCATTGCTTGAAAGCGGAAACCATAGAGTACTCTTAAGTGAAAAGCGTCTGTCGGAACATAATTCGAAAATATCAGAGTAGGATAAAAATATCGTTTAGGTGTTTATTGTATTATGATATTCATATAATAAAATGATCGATTGCAGATCACCCTATTTAGTAGGGACCTACTTTTCTATCTCATTTGGATATCATATATGAGATGAACATACTTAAATTCATTATTATGTAAAGAAGAAACATAATATAGAGCGAAAGTTTAATCTCCCGCCTTTTTTAACTTAAAGGCCTTCATTTTTTTGGTCTGTTCAAAAATATATCTATAAAATTCCAAAAAGACGTTATTCAATTAAAAAATTAGACATTTGCGCAAAATATCTTTCCCATAACAAGCATTTGACCGTCCATATAACAACAGTTTGTCCGAACTGAGCTTAACAAAGGGTGACACAACAAGCGTATTCGTTCATATACCAAATTTTGGCCAGGGTACCTCTCAAAGTAACATAAATTGGTTGATTGTTACAATGTCTCATTTTCTCAATTTGAGATATTTTAACGCTGTCGATTATCCCACGTGTCTTCTATAATGCAGCAGACATCACTACCTCATAAATTTGTGTAATTATTATCGAATATGCATGAAATTCAATTTGTAACTATGAAAAAGAGCCGTCGGCATTTGAAATGCGATACCCTTATATCTATTGGTATGAACAATTCATAGATAATATATAAACAGTTTATATTTCATTTCAATGTGTAACTGTGTAATCATATCATATTTTAATGGGTGTTAATGTGAATGTTATGTTGCACATCGCGGACTTTATTTGGAATAATAATGTTCTTTATTCTTACTATTTGTCTTGATAGAGATAAACCACTGCATGATTCCGTCAATGCTTACCATCTGGACACTTCTATCATTCTTAATTTTGATACTTTTACTCTCAAAACCATTAATCTTTTCCTTTATTCTACTTTTCATTATATACACGAAAGGCTAACTTGACATGAAATTCATATAATACATAACATGGTTTATCACAAAATTTTGGACAGTACAACAGACAACACCACCCACCAATATTCTGATTCCTCCGGAAAAAACATAAACAACAACGAACAACACATGGTTCAGATAGCTTGAATCTGTACAGGCTACAAATGAGGCGTACCGGTTTAAGTTTACACAAACTCCCCCTTGCATATATCTAAACCATAATGAAAAAGTAAAACAAACAATAAAAAACTTGCGCAGTACATATGGTACAGCTATCGACAGGATGACCACTGATTTGAAAAATGATATAAAAGACAGCACATATATTTGACACATCACGCAAATGTTTTATTGCACTCAAAAATACAACAAATACAGGATTTAAATAAGCTATTCGCAAACATATAGTGAGATCATACCGTACGTTCAACACATGAACGCTTCTAACTGAACTTTTCAAGTAATTTCCTAAACGAATGACTATCCATTTACCTCAAGTTGCTAAGAACTTAAAGGACTACAGATCGAGGATGATTGTGACCGTTTAGAAAGGACTACAGATCGAGGATGATTGTGACCGTTTAGAAAGGACTACAGATCGAGGATGATTGTGACCGTTTAGAAAGGACTACAGATCGAGGATGATTGTGACCGTTTAGAAAGGACTTTGCTAACTAAAATAATTTTTAAAACAATTAAAGATGCATGACTAGGCCGACAATTTTTCACATATTATGCGCCCATAATGAAGCGATATAAACAAGCAAATAAATATTAAGTAAATATTATAAATAAATAAATACATTCAAAATAACATAGCACCACACGTACAATAATCGACACAAAATGAAACACTGTTTATATTCTTTTTGTTTTTCTTAAAGGTTTTAAGATACAATATAGTAAAGCAATGATGATTGATTAAAATAATTATTCTCATTATATTATATGATTTAAAAAAAAATAAATACATCTACAAGGATAGCACTGTAAATAATGTAAAACCATTAAAATATTATAAGCAAAAACTTGACAAACAAAATCTTGTTATACACCAAAGAAACTTAAAATGTCTTGCATTTATATCTCTAGTAATACTATTTTCTATGATTCTCTAAAATCAACTATTTCAAAACCAATACATTACTTTAAAATATACCCAATCACGGAAACGTCTTTCAATCTTAGAATAGAGACATATACTTTTCTTTCAACAATAATGATACATCGTTCCTATTTGCTTGTAACATCCACAAAAAAATAGTAAACGTAGTATTCGTACTGAAACATGTTTGATTGAAGAGACAATTGCATCAATTGAGTTGTGGAAAGGATGTTATGTTTCATGACAAGATATTAACAATGCTATTCTTCTGTTATTCCTTTTGCTGCAAGTTCGTCAAGGACGCGTGAAATATATTCAGGATCTGGATATCCAAACCTGGAAGAAAAAAATATAACTATGTAATAGCTTTATCAAATACACACTTTAATGAAACTTTTATAAATTTGATGTACCATATGCTAGTTTTGGATTTATTATTCCTCAGCTCTAAACAAATTATTAGACATATTCGAAATCTATATCTTAGTGTATTGTGTAACAATGCAGGGACCGTTCGCGGTTTTCTTCGTAGTGGAAGGATCGAGAACAATGGGACTTGGTCCAACTGTTGAAACCCTCTACTATCTAAATGTCCGTTTTACCATCATAAAATGCTTCAAATATTTAATAGATCTTGCAAAGAATGAGTGTTTCGTTGTTTGGGTGTTGCATTAAATAGTTTGGTAAGTCTTTAAATGGTTTGATTCTTTTCGATCTACAATATTTGTGCTGATGCTGTCACCAAAAGATTTTGTTTTGATGTATCTTCTGACTGGTTTGATGTAGTCGCTCTGTAGTATGACCGGCACCAGTCCCTCAAATACTTGGTAGAATATGACATAAAACTAAAGATCAAAGTTGAATAGAAATTAACATTGATGAAACAAAAAGTTGTCATAACCAACTAGGGAACACTTATGCATAATAAGGGAAAAAGTAAAGTTATATCATAATGCTTGTACAAAAACAACTGGCTGCCGCTTATATTGATATAGAGTCTAACAATACCTACTGGTAGTAAAACTAGAAACAATTATAAACAATTATGCAGAGAGGACGGCGAGTTATTGTATCGTTTAAATTATCGTTTTCTCCCCTTCTAACTTATGACTTCACAACTTTAACAACAGGGTCCAATGTGTCCCTCCTTTGTTGTAATAGTCCTTTATGGTCATAAAGAAACCAGTTTGATCCTACGCTTCTTTCCATGAATATAAATAGTTTTGGGAATTTCGATTATCATTTGCTTATTAAGCATGTTCTTGTATTTTATCTTATATGTATACACTTTCCAATTAACTCTTTATCGCATGTGGAGCAGGAACTGCTCACCCTTCCGCAGCACCTGATATCATCACCGGTTTTTGGTTGGGTATGTATTGTTCAGTCTTAAGTTGTTTATGTTGTATTTTATATGGTGTTATTTGACTTTTGATCGTTATTCGTTTTTTTTTGTAGTCATGGAATTGTCCGTTTGTTTTTTACTTTCGAGTTCGAATATCCCTTTGGTATCTTTCGCCTCTTTTTTATGGAAGAAAATACGTTTTTTTTCGAAGAAAGAGTACGGTAAACGAAATCTGAGTGGATACTAATGGACATTAAAACATCAAAACCGTAGAAGGATAGGTATTAGTACACCAACAAGATATAAAAATAACTGAAGTCAACGTACAATTTAGAAAGCTAAACTTCGAAGCTGAGCTACTTTAATTTTACTGAAATCCGAGGTTTAACAGCTGTTAAGGTAACAGGTACGTAAATGGGCAATCTCACGGATTTTTATGAAATTTTTAAGCAATTTGAGGATGTGAAACTGCATATGAATATCGAAAAAAAAGTAACTTTTATACTTTCGAATATATGGCAAATTGAATATTCTGTATGAAGATGTATAAATGTATAGGATGCACGTAAATATCGAAAAAAAAATATTGAAAATTTGACTTCAAATTGCTTTTTCCCAAAAACGTGTCCTACGAATTTTCTTTATATGTTATTGCCACAAAAAATTCCGTTTTATTGATATAAAATTAAAAGGGGGTCACCGAATTCATTTTTCCTGTATAAATCATTCAAGTGTCTTTGTTTTATCTAAAAACGTCGAAAAATAAGATTTCTAGCCACGGCATACGACTATATTTAGTGACAATTTGAATGTTTTTAATCAATTAATAGAAGTTCCTGTGTATGTTTCTTGCACAAATGCATGAATGTCAACGTATATCTTCGTTTCCTGCTTTACCAAGTGTGTAGAATCTAGACGCTACCGTGTTTTTACCTCCAAATTGATGAGTTCAAGTGCTACCATTGGTCAAGAATAATGTATTCGGAATGGGCGTGACTTTAATCTACCGATAGATGGCGCATCCTTGTTATCACAAATGTTGGCTTAATCTGCCAAGGGTGGAGAGGAGGGAAGTGGATCGTAACCCTTGGCTACCGAAGATGCAGTTGGCTTTTTGTAAAGATCATAGTATGGTGTAGAACTGGCTGTATGTATAGTGTTATTTGTTTCATGTTCAATCGGATATAGATGGGATCTACATAGGCGACATTTTTTTAATTTTAATTAGTGACAGGCAAAGACAACCTCAATTAAGTTGAATTGAAGTTACAGGATAGCTTCTTACTCAGGCACACGCTTTACAATTTAATATTACGATGCTATTGTCGTTGTTGTTGAAAGTAATATCCGGCAAACAGCTATATTAACTTCAAATACTTTTTTATAACAATCTTATGGTAAAGTCCACACAGAAATATTCATTATGCCTCACTTAGATTCCAAATTATATACACACTTTTTGGCAACGCATTAAATCTTTAAAAACTAGATCGTATTTCTTGTTTTTTAGCCTACCACTATTCACGTCTACTTGTACTATTCCCAATTAAACCAGATGTAAACATTCAACTCTCAAACTATAACCATTGTTCTGCTTGATTATTTATTCAAATGAAATGCCGTGAATGTGAAAGCGGCCTATTTTTCAAACATCTTGGGATCGAGTCTCCATGTCTATCAACCTTCTTTACTATACGCATGGTAAATACTTTTAACATGCTATTCCAATTTAAGATTTTAACAACTCTGTGTTAGTGTATACAGTCATGAAGGCTATATAAGAAACAAAGTAGTGCTATAGTTTCAAAGATTTACCAACTTTTGAATTCATGTACTCAGTTCGGTAACATATATTCAAGATCCCTTTGCAGAATTGTTAGTAAACATATTTGGCTTAGAAAGTTACCTATTTTTTTCATACATTTGTCGACACATAGATGATGTGTAACGTAAATAGCAGGGCTCAGGTTAAGCAAGTTAGTGGTCGTAAATAGCAGGGCTCAGGTTATGCAAGTTAGTGGTCTAGACTGTTAAGGGTTTTTTTTGTGTGTGTATTCTTCTTTGAAGACATACGGTATGATCGGTATAGGTAAAAGGTAGATTTGTGTGAATTTAAAACTGGTTTAGCTCACCCCACATTTCGCGACGATCAATAAAGCAATACATGCTATTAATACCATGCGTTGTTTGTCATTGTTGCCTTTGTACGTTTATTTTCCGAGAGTGGTCGTTTTTTGTTGGTTGATGTTGTCAGGTTACTACTGTCTTAAATCCTATTATACCTTAAAGCAAAACACTGCATGTGAGAGCGAGAGAAAACATGTTGACATTATACAAACTTAAATATGCAGGCTATGTCAGAAACATAGCAGTACTTTCACATTTTTCGACAGTCCCATTTCAAGAAATATGTTCTTAACAATTTGACAGTTGATCCCACCCTTATACAGAAATTTTAGTGTTAAAATGTCTAGATCCTTAACCCCTCTTTGAATAATAGGTTGAAAGATCAAGATCACTTCTTCCAATGTATATCACCTACAGTCATATTGAGAGTTAATTAAATACAAGTTTCTTATCTGAAACAACTAAACAATTTTAACAGACTGAATTTCACATTTTCTTCATATATACCAATACAGCTTGAGTATCCTGACTTTTTGTCAGAATGTTATAATTTTTTTGAATTGTTTGAAGCCTGCCTCATTCGAAAAAAGTTAGCTAAAAGAGGTGTGTAGTTGACGGTCATTTTTAAAACGCATACATAGAATATAATTTGGTTTTGTGTTAAAAGCATCGTATGTTGTTGGGCTTTTATATGCATGATAAAAACTTTCAATATTCATATTATGTTTGTTATAAACAATTTTGTACTAAATTAAAATAGGATTTACAGTTTGCCCATCTAACACAGATTGTCGCACTTACTAATACATCGCCCACCAGACAAATCATAAACCTCAATATATCAACATTGTCATTAAATTTCATTACGAACCCCTAAAACAAAGTCCCAAAATATCAAAATTACTCCAATCCTATGTTCTTTTTCATATTGCACCCCATGATTATGCTCTTTTGGTTGCTACAATACAAACATGTATACATATATACATTTTTTTGTAGCAACAAAAAACCCAGTTGTGACAGTTAACATTTTAGCATATAACAACGAACGAAATATATACCCTCAGACAGAAGTTTGACTATAACTGTGACCAGGTTTACCTTGCAGGTCCTCCGTCTATTCTAGTTTTATGATGAACATCATTCCATGTTACCACATCTTCTTTTCCAGTTGTCCTAGAACTACCAATTGTAAAGAGAATACGTTGTTGGAAGGCGCGTCTCAGTAACCGGTGAACCTTTTGACCCTCCGAGTTATCCGGTAAGTATGCTACCCGTTTCGTTCCTTCATAACTTTTACCTGGATTTGGATGACCTTTCTTTGAATGATAAAAGTTAGTCATATGAAACGAGTTTCTTTAGATTTTAATGTTATGGAAATTATTGAACCAATGCATGCTTATATACTAAGCTAAGTCCTGCATGCACGTGTTTTTTTATAATTATTATAACGTATTATCGACACATAATATTTCATTTAGTGATTGTTGATATCAAGCTGATTAACTTTCGAGTTAGTTGTCGAAGTTTGCCGGATCGTGACATTGATAAACAATCAACACAAAGCACGTGGAGCTCGTGACAAATAAGTGAAGTGAAAGAGCCATGCTATTTGTTTTGTTTTTTGTTTTTATATTTTCCATTCGTTCTCATTTTTTACTTAATCTTTTCCTAAACAGTTGCTAAATGGTTTGTTGTATTAGACTTGTTCTTTCATAGTCAATTATTACTATTTACCTTCCAGTATACGTTTAATTGTTTACATTCTTTCATCTAGTTTTTCTCCTCGCACTTGCGCTGTGCGGTGGCCGAAGTTCTAACGAGAGGTCATACAATTAAGGTCACTGCATACGGGAAAATATCGGCGAATTAGTATACAGGAAGACAATAATTCAATATCAGTATATTTATGAAGATTAAGATGATATACAGGATTTTCTTTTACAAGGAAGTTAACGTACACTTGTTATATAGTAACACTTCACATTCGTTTATAGAAAACATTCAACTTTTTTTTTAAATTTGAAGTTTCATTTGACTTTAAAATCAATTATTAAAATATAATAACTATTTTGCAAAAGAAAACCCTAACTGGTTAAGCAAATAGATCAAATAGACATTACATTGAATACAACTATAATGCAATGTCACTCCCTCTACACGAGGCATCGGATTTAACGTCCCCATTCTGACTGGTAGTGACTGCCTTTTCATACATCCTGCACAACCAAACAGACCCCTCACTTTGGCAAGGGTTTTACCGCCGGTTGAAGAGGACCAATCATGACCATATTTCTATTTCCCAGTCACCATTGGGGTGACTCAAAAGTATTACTTGTATTATCTATGAAAGCAATAGTCTAAACACACACTTACTTGCTTTTATGTTGCATGTGCTTTTAATAATATCTGTGATTTGTATAACTAGTATATATATTGATAGATTGTTGTTTCATTAACGTCGTCTAGTGGCAAATACTTTATGCATATATAGGACAAGAAAAATAAAGAATAAATACAGTAGGTACTAAGGTTCTGCAACGTAGGTCATTCGGGATATACGGTGGGTAAGAACTTTGTACTACAACTGGAAAATGAGGGCATGTTGGATAGGGGCAGAAATATTGCCCAGCAACAGGTCACCTACCTAAAATGGTTTGCTTGTATGTGTTTTTATAAGTATATATTCTGTTGTTCTAAGTCTGTGTGCTTTTTATTTTAAATTTCAGCTGGTCATAAGAGGTCTTAAGAGCTCATGATTCGTATAAATGTGTGTATATATGATTATCCGACTTTAAATGAATATCATACACACGTCACTTATCACTTAAGTTTTGAATGAAATCAGATGAGAATAAACAAAAAATGATAATATACTTTGTGTTCTGTTACATTCTATTTGAGAAAACTCACCAATTGTTTCCCACCGAGGAATGAGTAGAAAATCTTGATTAAGCCACAATCTTTATAACCAGGTAGATGGACATCGTTTTGGAAGCATTCCATCATAATACCTTCTGGTTGATTTCCGGTTAGTTCTCCGTATACCATGTTGCACACCGGACAAGTAGGCATTCGTTTAAAACACTCTTCAAGACATTTCTTACAGAATATATGATTGCATCTGGAAAGCTGTCTCAATTTGGAACCGGACATTTCTTCTAAACAAATAGGACATGTGTCCGTCTTTCTATCTTCAACATTTCGGATGTATTTTTTTCCGTTAACTTTTGTTGTCTTATGTGGAATCTTTGTTGTTTGCTTTGGAGCGTCATTTTGTAAAAGTTTAACTCTTTCCTCTATAATTTGCCTGACTCTTTTGTCAGGATGGACTATAATCACAGTTTTCAAACCTTTAGTGGATGTTTTGTAGGGAGATAACTGATTCACAGATTCGCAAACCAAATCAATCACAAAGTCGGTCGGTGCCCCATTCTTTCCAGTGCCAATTAATGGAACGCCTAAAGACTCGTATCCCATAAACTCCGTTCTACTGATTATATTTTTCAACAAGGATCGAAGTCCATTGGTCCATTTATCCTGATTTTGAATGGAAAACTGCGGCACAACAGCATGGAAGATATGTTTACATTTTAATTTTTCCGTAGCAGGGGTGGGTTGGAACGTCCAGTAAGCTATAGTCGAACACATTTTTCTCAAACAGTCTTTGCATACCTCTAGGAGGTGACCTCCTTTTTCAGCAATAATCTTAGCCACCATACCACCGCTTTGTATTGCAGAATCTTCACTACTAACTATAACATCGACGTCTAAATCTGCAATGCTATCTTTTGATACAATAATTTCAGTAATAGAAGAACTGATACTATTTCTTGCAGGGTTCACTTCTGCATTTGTGGTGACTGATAGTTTGGTGGCTGTAGAAGACAGTTTTGGTTTGGCCCCTAAACTAGTATCCAAGGCATTTCTATGCTCGAGAATCGAGTTATCTTTCCCATGAAATTTATTCCCTTTCAAGGCATCAAGAACTTTCCGCTTTACAGACTTCTTTTTTCCTGTTGGTGACTTTTCAACTTTTGATTGTTTGTTACTCTTAACAGACAAGCTCGCTATTAGTGAATTTTTTGATCCCTCCTGACCATGAACGAAACAAAAAAGAGACATCAGTAATAAATTAATTAATGTGAAACTTATTAACATATTTTATAGGAGTAACACTACGGGTATCGAATGTGGAGTCAGAACTGCTTACCCTTCCGGAGCACCTGAGATCAATCCCGGTTTTTGGTGCGGTTCGTGGTCCTCAGTCTGTTTTTTCTTTGGTGTTTTGTGTACTGTTGGTTGTCTTTTGGTCGTTTTTCGATTTTTTTGCCATGGAATGAATTTGAATGTTCCTTTGTTATCTTTCGCCTCTCTTTTATATAAGTTTCAAGAAAAATATATACAGAAGATGAATTGAATATGTTATAAAATACTAAACAAGTGGAATTTCTTATTTCCATTAAATCTACCATCGATTTATACAGTTATATATAGCCTACGATACAGAGAAGACTATTTCATTAAGTGTGTACGTGCGTCCGTGTGCTCGTCCATTAGTCCGTTCAACCGTACAACGCGTATCAGGTTAAAGGTTATAGTAAAGGTTATTGTAGTTGACCATGAAGTTGCAGCCACATCTTGTACACTTGTTAATTATTCAAATATATGCGTAAACGAAGATTTTAACAAATATTTCGCGATTCAGTGAACATTGAAAACTAGTAGTGCGAGTTAGTTATGGGTAACATTTGGACACATTCTTGTTTCATATTTAATTTGACAGTCCCGGAATTCATTTCCTCATAATATATTTTTTATCAATATTGAACTGGCAGTACATGAAAATAGATTTCTCAACAAGCATTTTTAATCAACGAAAACAAATGAATTAATAGCACTTCTATGATTATATCCTCTAGAAATTCATATTGTGAGTCGAAATGCGCATCTGGTGCAGACAAATTGGTACCGTTTATGTTATTTAATCTTATGCATCATTTGCAAAATTAGAAAAAAAGCCACGTTTAAGGTCTTGATCTGGCAAGCATTGCGTTAATAGTATGCGTCATAACAAGAAATCAATAACAGACAATGCATATCACGGACATTGGATTAAAGTTAACGTCGAGGAAGGAGATATTTTTGCGTAATAGTCAATAAAACCAACCAACCTTGTTGTATTGGCTGTATTAAGTATTTCTATACTATAATCTCCATTATAGGGCTTACCGGTTTTGAGAGACTTCGTGCAATGCTTGTTGGTGTCTGTTTTTCACTGATGTTGACACCTGGGTGAGAAAAAGATTGGAACAGTCCAGTTTGTCCACGAGTACCATTTTTACCCGAATCTGGAGATGATAAGATTTGTGTTGACCTTCCTCCTCCATTTGTCATAGTCTGTTCAAATATGATATCCTGTACGATTTCCTCGTTTTCCGTTCCACCAGTGGCCATTGTTGAATTTGTGGCTATGAAAAAATATCAAGATAGATTTAATAATAAATTTTTCATAAGAATATGAGAAATGTAGGCAGCTAGATAACAGAAAATTTTGACCATTCATTTGTTTGCAAAAGCATTTCAAGAACTACAAAAAATGACTGAGCATGCCTACTAGTAACTTTCAGAAAGTTAATTATTTGAAATTTGGTGATTGACCTGTCCATGTTGATTGTGTTAGAGTAATGTTAAATATGACAGTTCAGAAAGGCATGGTAGGTTCCTTAAGTTATTGGATATTAAAAGAAAATGAAGTTTCCCTTACTTGGAAGTATATAAACAAATTATTCATAGAATTGTAAACTTATAAAAGTACTCATTCGTCACCTCCAAAAATGCGTTTTGAAAAACATTTACAAACATGTTGAAAATACACAGTACTCTCAAATCTGTTAAGATTTTGTAACTTGTTAATTATAATGTTTATATAAGTGATGTTAAATTTTGTAAGGAAGATAAATTAGCTAGCTGTATATGCACAAAATGCATTTCAACTAAAACTAAAACATTTGAGCACTTCAACAAATCAAAAAATATTATTTCTTAAAACGTAATTTTGTTTGCAACCTACCAAGTATTTGAATGGTTGTATGTATGTAACCTAACTTTTTCAGCATTTGAAAAATAATGTTGTTGAGTGTATACTACATGACATTGATCGATTATTATTTGTGTAGTCCCTGTAAGTTTGCAGCAAACACGCAGGAGAAAAAAAACAATATGCAGGTTTGCAGTTCATACCAGGCATGGGGCGAATTACATTGAAATGTAATGCATTATATTACAATTACTTTGACAAAACCCTGCATTAAATTACAATTACAATTACATGCGTTTATCAAAGTAATGCATTAAATTACAATTAATTTCGAAAGTAATGCATTGAATTACACATTACATTTGTTATTTTTTTATCAAGTGAAAACAAAAATCGAACATTTTGAAAAACAACATGAAGTCACAAAAGGTTCTAGCATATGCAGTAACTGTGTTCCATTATTGAATTTAAGTATGTAAAAAGTCTTTTCAATACCACTTTTGGATTTTAACATCATAAGGGTTTTAAAGGTTTCATGATGAATGATATTTCTGACTATCCGACTGTTTCACTAAACCTATCATAGTTGATTGCTCACTGTCTTTGGTTTTATGTTACAAGGTATACTATTTGTGGTTTCTCTAAAAACAAATTACAGAGATGAATTTTAATACCCTTCCGGAGCACCTGAGATCACCCCCAGTTTTTGGTGGGGTTCGTGTTGCTTAGTCTTTAGTTTTCTATGTTGTGTCATCTGTACTATTATTTGTCTGTTTGTCTTTTTATTTTTGGCCATGGCGTTGACAGTTTGTTTTCGATCTATGAGTTTGACTGTCCCTCTGGTATCTTTCGTCCCTCTTTTAATACTTACTATAACTTAATGCTAACTTTACTTTTATAGATATTTCAGGACAGGCTTAATCTTCAAATTCCCAAATAAAAGTGATTTATATAAACTGTGAAAATTAATATTCAAATATAAATTGAAGGTAAATATGAAAATGATAATGTTCTCAGTTAATCAAGAAATCTTAAAATCTGTTTCAGTAAATCTCCGACAATCTGTTTAAGATAAATAGTATGTGAAAAAAGTAATGCCATGTAATGCAATGTAATGCATGAAATTACACAACTTTTTGAGAAAGTAATGCATTAAATTACAATTACATGTAATGCAAAAATTGCTGCATTACACATTACATGCAAATACTTGGGAAAATGTAATACATTACCATGCATTACAATTACAAATTTGCATTATCCCATGCCTGGTTAATACTCATTTGCATGATAAATTGTTTGAGGCGGACTTGCAGCACTTTTGCAGAAAACATGCAGATTCTGTTTAAAATTATTCTTGGTCTTCCTGCAAGCTTGCCGTAAATGCACATTAAGTGTTTGCTGCAAGTTGCAGCAAGATTGCGGCAGATTTGGAGCAAATGTTTTCAATAGGCTGATTGTTTTCAGTAAGTGGACTGACGTACGCTAGAACATGCAGTAGCATCAAATATTGTTGTTAACATTAAAGTCCATCAACATTCTTGATAAATTGATAAAATCTGGTCTTCTATTAACAAATACTAAAGATAAAATATAGTCTTCTATTAATATCAAAGTATCTATTAATCTCGATCTAAATTGTTTGCCTCTGTGTAACATATGCCCCATCACCCTCTAATCTGTTTATTGTACATTTATTATACTGAATGTACTGTAATTTATTGCCTTTTGTTTTGCCTTTTTTGATATTGGTTATAATGTTATCTTTGGCTAACTCTAAAACCAGGCTTAATCCACCATTTTCTACATAAGGAAATGCCTGTCAGACATATGACAGTTGTTTTTCATTCGTTTGATGTGTTTGAGCTTTTGATTTTGCCATTTGATAAAAGACTATCCGTTTTAAATTCTCCTTTGAGTTCGGTATTTTTGTTATTTTATTTTTTTTATATATCCGCTTGCTCTAAAATTACGTCCTTTTGCACCACAGCCCATTTGCGCCAACAATACGTTTGCACCACTTGCTGTCAAACTGTATAGTATCATTCCGCCAAAAATGTTGTTCTATAACAAAATCGCATAGACCAGAAGAATTCATACTGTAAAATGTTATATATTTTAAAGAGACGACCATTTTATTTTGAGGAGGCCTGGCAAGAATCATAATCAAAAATAATCTGGACAGAATATTCATTTTCAAGCTATTACCGGACAGAATATTTATTTTCTGTACACTGAAGGTAGGAGTATCATTCATTGTTAGTTCAGTTAATAATAATACATGTGACCTTTGAATTTGTCAAGTCATAACTAATGTTTGAAAGACAAAGTTGTTTTGGTTATTGTTTTTCAAGAAACGTATTATTAAGTGTCAAACTTGTCTTTTTTTCTGAAATCGGATTATAATATTAAAAAAATTATATAATTTTTGATTTGTGTAATTTCATTAGCATAGGCATGCTTCTATCGGTGCCTGTTCCGTTGATAAACGAAACTAGCTAGCGAGTCAATAAAAAAAGATATTACTTGAGGGCCATTTTGATGAGCATTGATAAGAAAGATTATAGTAGCGAGCCAAGCGAGACCAGAAAATAATACTTGATGGCAAAAGTATTCATTTCCAACATGAAGGTGGCCATAGTATTCACTTTGTCCAAAACTCAGAGGCCAGCTGCCCCTTCCTATCTTAATAATCAAAGGCAGGGGCGGATCCAGCCATTTTTAAAAGGTGGTTCCCAACCCAGGATAAAGGGGGGTGGGGGTGGGGGGTTCCAACTATATGTCCACATTCAAATGCATTGATCGTAAAAAAAAGGGGGTTTCAACCCCCGGAACCCCCCCCCCCCCCCCCCTGGATAAATGGCAAATTATAGAAAAGAGCGAAAGAGTTATGTATACGATTTATCTATTTTGTTCTAGTTTAGGTTTTGTAAATGACTAATATAATTAAACATGAAGCATCTGACAATACCAACAATTGATATTTAACATAATACTTACTTTTTACTCAAGAATCAACATTGTCCTATGACACTTTTATTATTCTTGGTATGGTTTATATTTATTTTATTTAAAAAAATTATACACTTAATGTTTCCTTGTCAGAATCAAAGTCAATTTATGAATTAGAAAGGATATTTTCAATTGAATATTTGTCTCAGGATATCCACACTAGACAAAATTTCTTTCTAGGAACTGTGAGTAGTCTAGAGTAAAAAAAACCAATTAAAATGCTTGTGTTGAATGTTTACCTATACCTACTCTATTTCATCCTTAGAATGCATACCTTTGACACAGAATGCATACCTTTGACACTTTTGGTATTTGATGATTTTGACAATTTTGTTGGGTGTACCCATATACATAAGGTCAAATTAAAACAGATAGGAGTAAATCTTTCAGGATATCCATACTCAGACAAAATTTCTTTTCAGGAAGTTTGATAAGGCTAAAATATAAAAAAAAATCGCTTGGGATGAGTGTTTACCTTCCTTCCCTATTCCATGCCTAAAATGCATATTCTTGATACAATTGGTACGTGATGATTTTGACAATTTTGATAAGATAAAAAATATATTTAGTAAAATTAAAAAGACATAGGAGTAAACCTTAAACACAAGACTTAGTCTTTTTGTTTTGGCCTAAATTACTTGTTTTCTCTTATATATATTAAGAAAACATTGTATATAACTCACATTTCTTTTAGTGTACTTGTATTCCTCATGTACAAAATTAGGATGTTCATTTTGTCTGAATTTACATCAATTGATAATTTGTAAACAAACAATTAAAATGACCCAAATTCTCAGAGGGCGAAAACTACAGCGTCTATAAATGGTTGTTTTCCGTGTCAACAACAGCAATTATTATGAGTCTATTAACATTGACGCAAGCAGTAATTTGTTTTACAGCAACATCATCACTTTTAGAGTAATATCTTGTTTGACCAGTTGATGTATTTTTACACAAGAATTGGTGTACCATCTATGATTATCTATGGGATCTAACTAAAGTGTCTTTGATCGTTTTATCATGTAGCATAACAAAATAACTAGAGGCTCTAAATAGCCTGTGTCGCTCACCTTAGTCTATGTGCATATCAAACAAAGGACACTCTCCAACAATGTAGACAAGAATAGACTTCATGACAAAAATCTCAATTTTGTTGATCTTATATTACTGATCTTTTAGTCTGTTTAGTTTCTCTCTATCTTCTTTAGTTTTTGCTCAAAACACAATAGAGGGTAAAAACGTCCTCATTTAAGGGCAATCACTCCTATGAAGAGTGACAGTCTACTAACTATATTGGCAAACTTTGACTTTTAACTGGATCTTGCCTTGCTGATCATTTTTGTGATTTAAAGTGTTTATTTATCTATTATAATCTGAATCATATAAGGCATAACGGAAAAAAAATGTTTCTCTCTAAATGTCATAGTCTAAGACTTCATGATAATAGGAAAAAATGAAAACAAAAATGGCAAAA